GTGTTTGCACACTTCACACTGATTACAATGAGCACCTGTTACTATTGTAATTAAAAATGTATTCATAAAATCATGAAGAAAACAAAAGCAACATTGATGTGCTTCTGGAAACAGCTACTTCATATGTAAATAAGGATCCTGATAGCTCGGTTTGCTAATCTGAATCAGAAGTGAACTTTTCATTCATCCAACCAATGATTTACCTCTTGATACTTCAACTACTGAAAATGGAATTCATGTTTTAATTTGGAAGAGACGTGGTATGTCCTTTACCTTCCCGTTTCTGCCTGGTGCCAGTTTTGGTATGGTGCATTCACTGTATGCAAAACAGTGCTGGCAAAAATACAGCTAGTACTTTTCCCCTGGACAAGAGAAGGGGGCTGAACACTGGCCTTCAGAAGGGGATGAACAGTACACATGCCAGCAGCCCCTTCCCGCTTCACTAAACCTTCCTGTTAAGGGGTTGAATTGTTTCCATTGAAAGCCTATTGAAAAATAATGGTCAATCTTTTGCATTTGATACTAGGTAATCTTGCCTAATTCTCCAGAGTTTTGTTCTTTCTTTCTTTAAGTTGGATAGAAAGCAGGCCCAGTTTATATTCTGGATGAGAGGAGTTTATTGGAACATGTAAGAGGATGCATAATGACCTGTGACAATTTGAACTAGGGTTTTAAACCCACATGAAGTTCAGGGGTGAGGGAGAAAAACCGGAGTCATTTGGGGTCCGATGGAAGAGTCTATAGAATTAGATTGTATAGACCCAAAGTTATGAGTAAAAATCCTTCTCTTCATACTTTTAGGTGTCCTGGGTTACATAATTGGGATGATTCACTTAATGTGGAAAAAAACCTCACTATTATACAAAAATACATCCTCAAAAGCAGATAACTTCAGTAGGAATTATTTTCATTACAGACTAATTCAGCAGGGTTCCTTTAAAAACCGTCTCCCCTGCTGCATGTAAGGATGTTATTTACAGATGATTAGCTCTTTGGCTAGGAAGAGGTGCAATTTCAGTCTTAAAAAACAAAATCTAAGGCCATTTAAAGATCTATGGAGGAAAAGAAGTGCAAAAAAACAAAACTCCAGAGCTCTCTTGGAAGTCAGTAGACACAGGATTCAGCATACAAAAGTGTCATTTACACACACCTTCTTCAGGGGCACAGCTGTTCAGCAGGAATAAGGAACACATGCATTTTCCAGTTAAAAAATAAGAGCATCCTACACGATTGCGGAGAAGTGTGGCAGCCCCAGCTTTGAGGGCAATGGTTGGATTCCTAGAGAAAAAAATTTCACCTATCAGAATGTAAAGACAAAATAAGTGAGCCCTGTGCAAACTGGACCTGTTGAGAGAACAATCCTGGATGATGAGTATAATCGGTGTGCGGGGTGGTGTGTGTACAAAGGCGTTCATGCAAAAATGACCCTTTAGGTGCTGGCTGAACTGTTGCAGGAAATGGGGAACGGCTTTGTACTAGAACATACATCTAATCTGGAAGAGAAAAATCTAAGTGAATGTGGCAGAGCCAGCAAACCACAAACAGCCTAGACCAAAAAGCCGTAAAGGGAAAGGAAGCTGCAGCAATGTATCTTAGGGATGTGCAGATAAACTTAACATTCGACACCAGCGCACAGACTGCAGACAGAAGTAATCGAAAGCCCCTCTGGCTACCCACCTGGTCTCAGAGTTGGTCACCATTACAAAATACTAATCCAGCTTGACAATCTGAATACCCTTGCTCAAGAGTCGACAAGTGAAGATTCTTAGTGTAAGAAACGAGGTTTCGTTTTGCTTTTTTAATGGGGTAGTAAAATTAGCTATTTTCTTTAAAACTGCTCTAGTAAAGAGCATTTATTTTGTTTAATATTTTTGAAAAAAGTGCTGCGAACCTAAGTTCTTGAGAATGGGGGGATAGATTAAAATGTAACGTGAAACAACAGAGTATTATGGAGCCATGAACATATTTTCATGAAGAGCACGTGGCATAAGATGAAATGTGTAGGTAATATGCCTGATAAAATTTAGAAATGAAGGATGTTGGATGCACATTGTAAGATTTCCATAATTATAAATTTGTACTTGAAAGTACAGTTACACACAGTGCGGTGAGATGGCCTCTTTGTATTTTTAATACTAAAATCAGCCCTTTCAATTGGAGATCAGCACACTCCTTCTGTAAAGGGCCGGACTGTTAAAATGTTGAGCTTTGCAGGCCATCTAGGTCTCTGTTGTATTTGTTGCTTGGTTTTTACATTCCTTTAGAAAATCTAAAAACCATTCTTAGTTCATAAGCCTTGTAAAACAGGCCATGGGCTGGGTTGGGTGACCCTTGCTTTAGATGGTTTCATTTTCTCTGTATGCTTCAGCTGTTTTATAATGGAGAATGTGGGAAATGTTTTCATGTGTGCTATGTGAGACATATGCTTTCCCCAAGTCACTTTAGAATAGCTATACCAGCCCGGCACAGTGGCTCATGCCTGTAATCCCAGCGCTTTGGGAGGCTGAGGTGGGTGGATCACAAGGTCAGGAGTTCGAGACCAGCTTGGTCAAAATGGTGAAACCCTGTCTCTATTAAAAATACAAAAATTAGCCAGGCGCATTGGTGAGCGCCTGAGATCCCAGCTACTCAGGAGGCTGAGGCAGAATTGCTTAAACCCGGGAAGCGGAGTTGGTAGTGAGCCAAGATCACATCATTGCACTCTAGTCTGGGTGACAGAGTGAGACTGCATTTCATAAAAAACCAACCAAACAAACAAAAAAACAGAATAGCTATACCAATTCAAACTAGAACTCTTCTGGAGTTGATTGTTCTGTTCACTTGTGTAAAGAAAATAGATACATAGATATGTCACACAATATAGAGCCATAATGTGCAACAGGGTAACCATTAGCCCGTGTGGTTAATGTAACATAAAATGAGATAAAAATCTGTGCGTCAGTCCCATCAGCACTGTGCTGGATAGCATAAAGATTTTATCCTAGACACTTCTATAGGACAGCAATGTTAGAGAAAAAAATAATTAATATTCTAGGACCCAACCCTATGGTAAGTTTTGGTACACCAACGCTCCTTCAGAAAATATTTATAGAGAAGAAGGTAAGCCAGGTACATGGAACAGTGATCAGATTTAGTCAAATAGACTTGGAAAGGCAGCTGAAGGATGAATAATTTTCCCAGGTTCAACCAATCTACCATATACTGGCTCTGCGTTCCTGGGCAAATTGATCCACTTCTGAGTGCCCTCCATGTCCTCAGCTGTAAAGCAAACATGGTGATACCTACCTGGTGCAGGTTTTGAGAGGAATATACAAGTCTGTGTAGTAGCGATACAATTTCAGGAGATACTTGGACACACATCTACATTGGCCCGAAGGGGGCAGTAGTTATCACAAATTCAGAAAGAACCATGTCTTGCCAGTGTGGTTAGATTTGGGCTTCTTGGGAGGCACAGAAAAATATCTTGGCACTTAATTAATGCCAAAACTGCCATTGAAGATTATACTCTGGGTCAGGTGTGGTGGCTCATGCCTGTAATCCCAGCACTTTGGGAGGTTGAGGTGGGTGGATCTCCTGAGGTCAGGAGTAGAACCGCCTGGCCAACATGGGGAAACCCCATCTCTACTAAAAATACAACCAGTAGACGTGGTGGTACACGCCTGTAATCTCAGCTACTTGGAAGGCTGAAACATGAGAACTGCTTGAACCTAGGAGGCGGAGGCTGCAGTGAACTGAGATTACATCACTACACCCCAGCCTGGGTAATAGAGTGAGACTTAGTCTCGAAAAAAACTCTAACAAGGAAAAATAAGTGGCTGTTGGACCTCCTAAAGACCTCAGACCCTTGGGTGTGTCACATTATATTTTGGTTCCCTGTGACCACTGGTAACCTTTGCCCTCACAGTGAAGAGGTTGGTTTTCCTCAGCTTCACAATTTAGGAAATAGAGATGCTTGGTTTTGGCATGAAGGTGAGGATTCTCCTGTGTCTCTTACCTCTCGAGCCTGGTACTCCTGCTCTCACTCCCACCCCTGCCTTTTACAACCAGTCTAAAAAGCAGCCCCCACCCCCACTCCAGGGCCCCCAGACTCACTTTTGAACACTGACCCTCAAGAGAACTCATTCAGCAGTTATGGAAACTTCACAGAATTTACATACTTTGTATAAAACAGACAATAACGTCTCAGCTGTGGCTGGGAGACTGTTTAAGGAGGGACATACCCCCTGGGAGAACATGGTAGAATCAGTGGCAGCTTTAATTCTTCCACGTGCTCTGGGAATTGGGGTGAGGGTAGGGCATTCTTCACCCCAGAGCATCCACCCCAGGCAAAGAAATTTGGTTCTGCCATATCAACATGGTGATCTACATCCCGTATTTATTTGCGGTCTCTTCCCTCCAGCACTTGACGGCTATACTTACATATGTTTCAATGCCCCAACTTTTTAAAAGATGATTCTTTATTGCTACTCTCTCTGCGCTTCATTAAATTGGGGGGAACTACATTTCTCTCTCCTTCTCTTCATTGAAATTACATAGCAAAGGACAGAACAGCCTTGCAAACAAGCAAGAAGCTGCAGGCTAGTAGTATGATCAGGAGACAAGTATGTACAAGTCCTGGTCAAGCATCTTCTGCTAGGCTCGGGTGCCTTCTGGGTGGCCTGCGTGTGCTATTAAACTATTTTGATATGAATTGACAAAGCTATGATAACAGGCAGGCAATGAGCTAAAGCTTCCCACCCTCCCATGCCCCTCCCTGCCAGCCCCACGCCCACATCCCAACCAATGGACCCAAATCCTGACGGATCTAACAAAGAATGGCCAGGACATCTGGGAAGTGGCATGGGAAACAGAGACATGCTTATGAAAAATAACTTCACCTCAGAGACACCCACAAGAGAGGGTGGGGCGGAGGGAGGGGGAGAGAACTTACATGGCAAGGAAGGTGATTGGACTCAGATTTATGTCACAAAACAAAAAGAGAGCCACGACAGTGGGCTTACTTGCAGAAGTATATACAAGTGAACTGGGGGCACTGTACATGGAAGATCCCTCCTGGTTGGCCTGGCACAACAGGACCGTGCCTACGAAAGAGAGAGAGAGATGGTATCTGGTTTGGGAATTGGCACACTACACCTGAGAGATCACGGCAATGCAACTGAGAAATGAAAACACAGCCACATCCCAGAGCGCAGGACAGGGGCACCCAACACAGCCCCCTGCCTTAGCCAAAGGGAATCAGTGGAAGCCCCACCCCCAACCCAGCCCACCAAGCACACGTCATGACTTTTCACATGGGGTTGTGTAGCGGGGTCTGGCTGCCCCAGGACCCAGGTTCAGATCAGGAGTGGAAGCAGTGCGGCATACTGCAAAGGGAACTTTAGGACTATTGGAGGGAACTGGATAGGAAGCCTGACTCTGACACCTCTCCACTGTGCGATCTCGGCAAGTCACTGTACCTCTCTGTGCCTCAGCATTTCCATCTGGAAAATGGGGGTAAATATACCTACCTCCAAGAAGGGCTGTGAATCGTATGACTGGTAATGTACCCAACTCAGGGGGTTGGACATGTAATAATCAATAGTAAGCATACATGTTGATAGGCTTAGAGAAAACTTGACCTTCCCTCAAACGTCAGTCTTTCTGATTCGGTTCTTCAGAGGAAGAACAGAAGGTAGATAAGAAATAAATGCAAATTTTGCCATGCCTGGGACCCACCCTGGACCCACACTGGACACTGGGTAAGAGGATCTTCGGCTTCTGCATTCCCACTTTCTTCCCTAGAGCTCTCTGCCTTCCAGCCAGAGAGGCTGCCTAACTCATCCTGCAAACCTCGGCCGCATTGCAGCAATGACTTGCCGCCTCCTGACTTAAAGCAGAGGGCACTGGGCTTATCCTTGCACGATGGAATTTTACAGCAGCAAATGACAGTGGAATCCTGAGATACCTCCTCAATCTATGACAGGTTTTGAACAACCACCCACTCCAGGGATGGACCAGGGTCAGGAATTGTCAGGGTATCAATTCTACTTTCCTGCTCCTGCAAAACTAAAACCCCAATGCTCTGAAAAGAATTAGAATTTGGAGGAGTTGTAAGGCCATTAGTGGTGATGGAAATATCTCCCTGTGGTTTCTGGTCACTTCCCTGGCTGGGTAGGGTCAAACACCCCTATTTGATTGGAATTTCCCTGTCATGACCACCACAGAAAAGCAGTCTCCCACAATAAGAAGCCAGTTGTACAAGTGCACCCCCAGAACAGAGAACTTTTCTAGATCCTTGGAGACTTGCCCTATGGAATGGTTCTATGATCTTTCTGAATCTTCCCTATGATAAACAAAAATGGAGTGAAAACTACCAAAGTGTTGGGGGTCCTGCCACACAGAGGGACAGGAGACCAGACACAATTCTAAAGGTGTTTTCTCCCAACTTGCACCCAACCATCCATCAGGGACCTAGTCAGAAGTGATGGATCACATGAGGAAGTCTGAAAAACCTTCCCCAGATTCTACTCCCCCCTCTGTTATTTGTGCCTCTCTAGATTTTGTACTTTACTTCCAGGTAATGCAAAGATTTTTTAAATTCCTAATCCACCTCACTCTTTCCCCTATTATCAGTCTGACAACTTCATTTACTCTTTTCCAAGGAGAAGCAGCCCAGGGACAGAAGTTCTACCTGAAGGAATGTCCCGTAGTCCTTTTTGATCTGGTTTCCCATGCTTACAGCTGGAGAAGAACCATCCACCCCCACCAAAATAGCCCTTGACACAAAGGTGAAATTAACCTTCTCTTCATAGTAAATTTATCAGGAGTCTGGAGGGGTGTCAGTCACGATCCACCTATGCTAGACTGGTAGTTCTTTCTTCTTCTTGTAAAAACAGTTTATCACCCAGGGACGGTGGCTCATGTCTATCATCCCAGCGCTTTGGGAGGTTGAGGCGGGTGGATCACCTGAGGTCAGGGGTTCAAAACCAGCCTGGCCAACATGATGAACTCCTGTCTCTACTAAATATATAAAAAAAAAAAAATAGCTGGCTGTGGTGGCAGGCACCTGTAATTCCAGCTAATCGGGAGGCTGAAGCAGGAGAATCACTTGAACCCAGGGGGCAGAGGTTGCAGTGAGCCAAGATAGTGCCATTGCACTCCAGCCTGGGTGACAAGAGCAAGACTCCATCTCATAAAAACAAAATGATTACAATATATGGATGAGTTTTCTTTACTGATCCAACCTCTCCTCAGGTATTTCCAGTTTTAGCAGGTCATTGGGGATTAATATCAACAAAACTCCAAAGAAAATGGAGTTGGGTATAAAACCCACCAAGAAGAAATGCAAACTACCCACCGGGAAAGACATTTAGTCCCTCTACCATCGCTGCTCTTTATCAATGAGTCCTCCTGTGTGACTCTGCAGTGGTCATCCCTGTGCTTGTGCTCACTGCTAGAATCTTAGAAAGATGGAATGTTTCTGCAGGATATACAGAGAATGACAGAACAGAATCTTCTAGGATAGGATCGTAGCAGGTTGATTTAGGGAAAGTTCCTCAACCTTCTCTCCTGTGCACACCTGGTTAAAAAAACACGTTTACGTCGGATCCGAAGTTCTTGGGTCGCCTAAATTTCAAAAGAAAAATGTATAACTGTAACTGAAATATACACAGAAGGACATTCCAGTATTCAACCCTTGGGTCGATTTTCAACATCCTCGATGTAGTTCATAGAATTCCACTGGGACACAGCACAGAATTTTGCCTGGAAAGCTACCTCTGGCAGGGCATAATGAAGCATTCCTAATTTTTCTTATGCTGTGGATTCTGAGAACCTAGACTGAAATAACTTCTTTGGATACTTTCTTAGTAGTAAAAAAAAAAAAAAATCTTTATGCAGTAATTTTGACCTGTGTAAAACAATCTGTGCCTTCACAGAACTTGGTTTTTGTTTAATCTAAAAACATCTTCCAATTTAATTTGCAAAGTATTTACTGTATGTTCCCTTGGTGCGTTGTGACCTTTCCTTAAAGGAGGCTTTGATTTTGACAAAGCAAAAGCAGTAGAGAACACTGAAACCTCCATGCATTTTTTTTTTTTTTTTTGGGCAAGGAAGGGTAAGTGTATTTGTTTTTTTAAAAAATAAGTCAAATAGGTAACAGGATACAAGCAGCAGTATGAGGAGTGCTTACAAGGTCATTCAAAGCACTTCCCAATATAGCCTCAACATAGCTCTTCAGTGAGTTCCTGAGCTGGATCTTCTATCTGTCCCTAGACTCCAACATAAACATTCTACTCCCAAATGCCATGAACTGTCATCTGTATAATATAGTGACATCTTGTACTTATCAGACTTCTGTGCTTTTACTTAACAAACTCCTTATAATTTAAGTATGGCAACTGGGGTCAATTTGTGCCACAAGCTGCCCATTCTTGAGCCAGAATGGAATTATCAGTTTCAATACTATCCCTTTCCTATTGGCCTAGAGTCCTCACAGTCATTCTCAACACAGCCAGTAGGCAGTTATTTCCATTTGGTTTGGTGACGGGGGTGAAACCTCCATGCCATTCCTGCTCTTAGTGTTAGGAGAAACCATTTGAAATTATCTTTTTTTTTCTTTTTGCAAAATAGAATTGAGTGTGTTTCCAAGTTCATGTGGTTCAACTTTAAAAAAAAAAGTGGCTTCCCGTGTTCTCCTTCTACATAGTCTAAAAGTGACCTCCTCTGTCCCTGGTCCTCAGGGCTGAATTAGTGACTCCCTGTTCTATGCTCATATCTTACATTTTTTTTAAAGCTCCCTAATAGATCCTTCATGGTGCTGTGTTATAATTTTCTATTTACATATTGATCGTCTGAACTACCAAATCCACCTGGGGTAGAGCCAAATCACAGTCATCCTTTTATCCCCAGCGCCTAGCAAAATACCTGTCTTCAGAAGAATTAATGTATATGATTGAATCATAATACACTTTTTAAAAAGAACTCTCCACTTCTATCTTCTTGGCTAAAAAATAGTGTTGTTTTTTTTTCCTTTTTTTCCAACCAATATTTCTTCTGCCTATTGTTCATGGCAGGAAATTTGCCTGCCCAAGGTTCAAATAGATAAACAAGCTACGTGTAACTTCTGTAGATTGAAATAGCTTCCATCTATTTGAAGTGTTATCCCTTCTTTCCTGATTCTTTTAAAGTTGGCTCATCCAGTCTAACAGGTAACCTGGGCAGCCTGGTGAGCCACTTCCTGAGCTGTCGATGACTATATCAGCACCTGGCAGACACTAGCTCCATGGGACAGACCTCAACCTCAGAATAATGACAGCCCATTCCAAAGCCTGTCACACTCATCCGCTCTGAGTGCTGGCATCACCGAGTCCTGGCAACATGTCCCCCAGCCAGTCTCAGCAGGATTTGGAATCCTACAGTGAGGAAAAGGGGTAAGCCAGGGTCAAGGTCTCAGGGTGGGCATCAAAACCCTTTCTGCTCAGCCAGAGTCACCCTGCAGTGGGTAATGGATCACTCTCAGCCCCTGAAGGAGCAGGGGCAAGCCTAGAAGGGATGTTTCCCATCAGAGACAGGGAGGAGGAAGTGTTGAAATGTATTTACTCTGCTGCCAACTCTTAAGTGAGGAAAACTGGACTCAAACCAGAATAGCAGTGTGGTTTCAGACCTCCATGCCTTTGCAGAGCCTTTGTCTTTTCCCAGGAAATCTTTTCCTCACTCTAGATAGCTCCTTTCTGGACTCAGCTCTGGCTTCTCCTAGAAACCCCATCTATGTGCCTTCGTCTGGTAGAGTTCAGCTTCCTTTCTTTTTAAAATCGTGTTGTTGTAATCTAATGAGTCTCTGCCCCACTGATGCTACTAATTGCAAGAGATCAGGAATCATGTATTTATCTTCTAGTCTCATACATCCGGGAACCTAGACGAAGAGGTAGGAAGCAAATGAAGAGGGAATCCAAAGGTTTCTGATAGGCAGCCATGCTAAGTTTTCAAGAAATAAAATTAGAGGATGGGAAGGAGAAAAGACAGGGCATTTTGCAATGTCTGCCTCTTCCCTTTTAGTATCAAACGGGCACGGCTCCAAGCCGGCACATGGTGAAAAACTAGA